AATCCCTAGGTAACAAGAATAATAATATAAAGATTATTCAAGTCAAGTCAAGATTTTTATTTGCCATTTATGCATAAACAGACAGTCTAGGCATACAGGAATTCTTGTGCAGCTCTCCTTTGGAGTCAGGTAAGAAGTCAAAAGCCTTAAAGAACACTTAGTCTTAAAATAAAAAGTTACATAAAGGCAACAAAGTATTAAAACCACAATATACAAAAATAGGGTAATAGTATTTTCTCAGTGAATTTCAAACATCACACTTAGTAATTTACATGGTGGAGTTGGATATGTCCTTACTCTTGGTGAGGTAGTGATGGGTTATAACATACTAAAACATATTATTATATTCAGGCCTGTTTCCATTGCTTGGTAGAGAATGTCCTGCTATTACTCAGGTCCCCCAAGAGAACACTGTTGATGAGATGCTCTTACAAAAATACCTTGTGGAACATTTCTGTATTATTATTCCACATGTCTAGTGAGGGCTTATTGCACATATATTCTCACATTTCTCACATTTTCGTATTTGCCATCAGTCTTACTGCAGCAGGGAAAAGGCTGTTGTAAAGTCTGTGTGTGATGATACTGTCTGCCCTGCTGTGCCTGAGGCTGTAGGTGCAGTTTTTGTGTCTGAGCAGAGAGTGAGCTGGGTGGCGTGGGTCTCTGAGTATGTTTTCCACCCTTTTACGACAGCGCTGTGTGTACAGTGTGTCCATAGCAGGCAGTTCAGTCCCAGTGATCCTCTCTTCAGTCTTTATGACCCTTTGAAGAGCCTTCCTCAAAAAAAGGGATTGGTCTGGGACCAGAAATGCCCATTCTTTTAAATGTTCCAAATGTCCAGCAGCCATATCTGTAAAAAAACAATGAAAAGAAAGGAGATTTCCTACTATACTCATATAAACAGTACAAATACTTAGACACATAACCTTAAGACACTTACACAAACAACAGTGTGATGAAGGCAACCAGGAGGGTCCATGTCTCAGCAGAGAAGTAGAGGGAGGCCATGGCTGCACAGTTGCTCTTCTGTCAGTGGTTACACTGGTTTCTCTGAAACCTCTAATCACACGCAAAGGTTTTTATATGCTGCTGCACAGACGTTTTGCATGAGTAAGTATGAAGTATGTGAGAGTTTAACCAATGGCAGGCGCTGAGGTCAGGTGACTGATTGACAGAAAGAGCAGTATTTACAGTATAATCACTTTTATTAGCTCTGTTATCTGTGATACTACAATCTTGTGACTTAAAGGTTATAGTTTTTATTTATAAAAAAAAAACTAAGTTTATAGAAAAAGTAATATTGAATTTTTTTCCATCTTTTGTGTGTGCCTCTATTTGCACTTTGAAGACCAACAAGTAGTTTCATTCTAAAACAATGTGATTTAATCTTGACTCACTATATTTTCTGGTCTACATGAACAAAACACAAACATTAGCTCATGAAACACTACAATTTAATATTTTTGTAGATGTATGTAGGATATGAAAACATATCTATTCTAAATATGTACTCACACAAAAACATGTCCAGGCATATACCCGGTTGTGTAATCAGAATTGCCTATTTTCCTTTTATTGCATTGTGTCACTGCACAGGAAGAGGGGGGAGGCTCACATCTTATGTAACACACGACAAGACCCGCCTCCTGTACATACAGTACAAAACAAGGATCACCACAACTTGGTCAAACACAAAAGACCCGTGGACTTTCTTATTTCCATCTCATTCGAAACATCAGTTCTACTGAGCACATTGATCTGCATATTTGTAATGTAGCAGGGATTAGCTGGGACTGGATGATTTGTCCAATAAATACCCCAACTGTTCATGTGCGATTATATAAATGTCCACGAGCGCGCACTGGATCCCGAGATGTTGAAAACCATCCTGGTGAACAAATATTTACCTACTTCACAAACCAGAGGGTGGGAATGTACAGATTAATGTACGACTAATGAACAGAACTAAAGACAGAAGTGTTGCACAGAATACACTGTAAAGTGATACACCTTCCTTTGTTCACTGATTTACTGAGGCAGAATAATGCTTCCTTCAGACTGTCTAGTGTGTGCATGGCAGGTCATTGGGTTTATGTTGTGTAGCAAATTGTGACTGGCAGTAAAAATACACCGATCGGCCATAACATTATAACCATCACCACTTCCACAAATACAACTTTCCTGATTTGTGTGTATATGAAATCTGGGAGGAAACTAGAGCTCTTATACTGTAGGATGTCCATGCAAGCAAACTCCACAATGAAGGATCAGTAATTAACACATAGATACTTTCAGCTTTAAAGTGTCCTTACAAGTTATCACACACTGGTTTTTAAGGCGGGTAATAAAAAAAAAAAAGAGGGTAGAAAAAAAATAGGGGGCAAAAACTAATTAAACAGTACAAGTTATAAAAGCATGTCTATAAGCTTTACAAACACAAAATGCAAACACACTTGCAATTTCCGATCCACAGATACCATTATAAACTATTTTATTACCAAGTACATCATCTCGGGTGAAAACTTACAGCAACTCTCTGGATGGGTTTCACAGGAACTTGAGAAGATAAAGAAATGGTGTGACAGTAATATACTATCTCTGAATTTGGATAAAACTAAATTTATGGTATTTGGGAATCGCAGACTAGACAATGAACTTCAATTGAAAATTGGGGGAGCTAATATAGAACAAGTATATGAAATTACATTTCTAGGTGTCATAGTTGATGACAAATTCTCCTGGAAATCTCATATCAGATATGTTCAG